TAGCTTCTCTAGGATGGCAAATTATAGGCTCAATGTCCTTTATTTATGGCTAGAAACCAAATATGAGTGAGTACATCCCATGTTCCTCTTTTTGGGTCTGGCTTACCTCACTCAGGATAGTGTTTTCTATTTCCATCCATTTGCATGCAAAATTTAAGAAGTCATTGTTTTTTACTGCTGAGTAGTACTCTAATATGTATATATTCCATATCTCCAAAATATCTAAAGAACTCAAGAAACTAGACCATAAAAGGCTAATCAACCCAATTATAAAATGGGGCACTGAGCTGAACAGAAGTCTCAACAGAAGTTCAAATGGCCAAAAGACACTTAAGGTCATGCTCACCTCCCTTAGCGATCAGGGAAATGCAAATCAAGACAACTTTAAGATACCATCTTATACCTGTCAGAATGGCTAAAATCAAAAACACCAAAGATAGCCTTTGCTGAAGAGGTTGTGGAGAAAGGGGTACACTCATCCATTGCTGGTGGGAATGCAAACTTGTGCAACCACTTTGGAAAGCAGTGTGGCGGTTTCTCAGGAAATTCGGGATCAACCTACCCCTGGACCCAGCAATACCACTCTTGGAAATATACCCAAGAGATGCCCTATCATACAACAAAAGTATATGCTCAACTATGTTCATAGCAGCATTGTTTGTAATAGCCAGAACCTGGAAACAACCTAGATGCCCTTCAATGGAAGAATGGATGAAGAAAGTATGTTGAACATTTTTAAAAAATACTTATTAGATGATGGGTGCAGTGTCATACGACTTTAATTCTATCACTTGGGGGTAGAGACAGGTTAACCTTTGTGAGTTTGAGTTCCAAGCCAGCCAGGGCTGTACAGTGAGACCCTGTCCCAAAAATCAAACAAAGATAATCCAAAGTATTATAAAACACAGAAATGTGTATTAACCATTTGTATTTCTTCTTTGGGATCTCTGTTCAGTTCTATGACCCATTTTTTTGATTGAGTTGTTTTCTTGGTGTTTCATTTCTTGAGTTCTTTATATGTTCTAAATACTTAATCTTCTTCTATCAGATACATAGCTGGCATTCTCTGGGCTGACTCTTCACTTAAATGAGAGTTTCCTTTGATAAACAAAAACTGGTGAGTTTCATGAAGTTTGAATTAATTGTTGATTACATGACTGTATTTCTTGAGCAATCACCGTTCTATCCTGAAAACCCTTAAAAGTGTATTCTATGCTTTTTCCTCTTGCAGCTTTTGATCTTAAGTTGAGGTTCTTGATCCATTTGTAGTTGCTGTTGTTCTTTTACATGTATAGATTCATTTTTCCAAGTGCCATTTTTGAAGATGGTATCTTTTCTCTAGTGTGTATTTTTGGCATCTTTATCAAAAATCAGGCGGCCTTGTATCTGTGTCCTGTATTATTTTTTGTTGATCAATATGTCCTTTGATTACTGTGGCTCTGTAGTATGATGAGATCAGGATGATGATAATCCTTTAGCAGCATTATTTTTTGCTCAGGCTTGTTTTTCCTCTCTAGGATCTCTTGTGATTCCACATGAACTTAAAGATTGCTCTATTTTTGTGAAGAATGGCACTAGATTTTTTTATTGGAATTGCTGTCCATCTATAGGTTTCTTTTAGTAAGTAAGCCATTTTCACAATATTGATTTTTTTTTCTAGTTCATGAGCATGGGATATGTTTCCATCTTCTGATTCTTCCTCAATTTCCTTCAGAGTTTTACAGTTTTTATTTATGTGAGGTAGGGAGAAGAGAGATGACTTTTATATTCTTGATAGGTTTCTAACAAGTTTTTGTTGTTGTTACTGTTATTGTTATTTCTTTGTTTTTCAAGGCAGGGTTTAATCTGTGTAGTCCTGGCTTTCCTGGAACTCCCTTTGTAGACCAGGCTGGCCTCAAACTCACAAAGATCCACCTGCTTCTGCTTCTGAGTGCTAGGATTAAAGGTGTGTGCCACCATGCTTGGCTAGCAAGTTATTTTTTAAAGATTATCATGAATTAGATTATTCCCCTTTGCCTTTCTATTTTCATTGGTATCTAGGAAGACTGATGATTTTGTGTGTTAATTTTGTATATTACCACTCTGCTGCAAGTATTTGTCAGTTCTAAGAGTTTTCTGGTGGAGTCTTTAGGATCTCATATGGAAGCTTAACATCTACAAGTGGTGCTGCTTTGACTTCTTCCTATTTTGTCCCCTTTATTTCCTTGTCTTCTGCTCTAGCTAAGACTGCTAGCACTGCACTGGATGAGAACAAAGCAGTTAAACATCCTTCTCTCGTTCCTGATTTCAGTGGACATGCGTGGGTTTTCCCCCATTTCACATAATGTTGGCTATAGGTTTGTCGTATTATGCTGAGCTATGTTCTTTCTACTTTTAGCTCGCTTGGTCTCTCTCTGTATCTGTCTGTCTGTCTCTGTTTTTTGAGGCAGGGTTGCTTTGTGTAGCCCTGACTGTCCTGGACCTCACTCTGTAGATCATGCTGGTCTCAAACTCAGGTCTGCCTGCCTCTGCCTTTCCTAGTGCTCTGAGTTTCTTTGGGACTGTTAACATGAAGGGATGTTGAATATTGTCAAATTCCTTTTCTTCATCCATTGGGGTGACTAGGTGATTATTATGTAATTTATAGTATTCACTGATTTAACCATATTAGAGTATCTTCAGAATAAACCCAATCTGATATTTTCTTGAAGTCAGTTTGTACCTTTATCATATATGTGTGTGTTCATTTATGTATGTGTATATCACATATAATAATGGCACACATGTGGAGATCAGAGGACAACTGTGTGAGTCAGTTCTCTCTTTCTACTTTGTAGGCCTTGGAAATTGAACCTGGGTCATCAGGTTTGGTGGCAGTTGCTTTTATCCATTGAGCCATCTCATTGACCCAGGTGTAGCTGGCTTAAAAGGAAAAAATTTTATTTTTGTAATTAAAACATGAGTTAATTTAAAAGTACAGCCTTAGCTCGAGGGAGGGTAGACATGGGGAACCAGAGGCTAGTGTTTGGAGTAGGGACAGCTCTAGTGTGTGTCAGTATGTACAGTGATGAGAATACAGCTTTGACACATAGACACAGGAAACAAGCAGAATATCTATAGCCAGACAGGAATAATGTGGATGGGTGACACAGCAGCACAGCTGTATAAAGAATCATCCAAAGGAAGGAGTCCCTCCCACAGGCCTTAGCCTAAGTACACTCAGAGTGTGCTGCAGAAGGCTGTCACCAGACATCCCCTGTGTTAACTAACCCCACTGTCCTAACTGCCTCAGAATCTGCCAGGACCAGTGCCAAGTTGGGATGTTTCCTACTACCTGCTTACTTTTCTGTGCAACACGGGAAAGAATAAGCAAATGGAGTGCTGCCAGCCAGCCTTACAGAGGGGGAATCAGCTTTGACCCTTCTGAGAAAGAAGACATTGGGAAAATACTGATATGGGAGGATGGATACATTGGGAAAGAGGAAATGACAGAAGCTCCAATAACTGAATTTTGTTGGGATAGCTGGTAGAGCTCAGGGGGTCATTGAGATGGGTTCTTCATCCTGGGCAGCACCTCTGAAGAAAGCACAGCAGTTAAGGATGTCAGTGATACGCATAGCTTGCCATCACCATGAGGGATCCTGAAAAGACCAGGTGATGTGAACTCTTGAGTGTTGACTACTGATTGAGCAGAACAATAGTTCTATAACAGTAGCCAGTCAGTGGTAGCACTTGCCTTTAATCCCAGCACTCTGGAGGCAAAGGCAGGCGGATCTATGTGAGTTCGAGGCCAGCCTGGTCTACAAGAGCTAGGTCCAGGACAGGAACCAAAAGCTACGGAGAAACCCTGTCTCGAAAATTAAAAATTAAAAAAAAAATGGTTCTGAGATTGTTTTTCTTACTGTGATTTGTCGGATACTACTTTGGGAGTGTTTCCTCTGTTTGTTCCTTTAGTTGCAAGGGAGAAAGGAAGAGCTGGGCCCTAATGTCCACTGTGGCTAATATCTATCCTGATGGTGTATAATAGATTATCCTGTTGGTAAAATAGATTATCCAGATCGCCCTCTGATAAGTGAGCTATGGGCCAGACCCTGTGAGCTGTACCTGGAACTGCCTGATAAACCACGACCCCCTCCCTCCCCAAGCTGTCCCCTTTTATCTGTGATAAGCTGCTCCAGACAATCCCAGAGCACCAGGTGTTGTTCCCCAGGGTCCAAATATACATTGTTTTTCTAATGTTTATCTCATTCCTCAGTTGTAAACACTGCTATGTCAGGGTGCTGCTCAGAGGCCACTTGGAGCACATAGATCCTATTTATTTACTTATTTATTTTTGTTAGCAGAATTCGGAAGTTTCACATTGGGCTGCAAAGCCAGGGTTTGAGCCAGCAGCTGGAGAGAGTCCAGGACTGGAGTGTTTGGGGATTTGGGGTGGAGAGCAGAGGGAGAGAGGGAGTGGCAGGAGGGCAGAACAGTACAAGCAAGCAATCCACATTGCTTTGCCTTTAGCTTTGCTATCAGCAGAGTAGACTTCAGTTGTGCTAGAGGACCACCTGGCCACCATTGCCGAGACTGGAGGGAGGGCGCTGCCTTACAACCCTGAATTAACCATATTGCACCGGACTATTCCAAGTAGCTCCCGTTCTCTCTTTCCCTTGGAGGCAAGTCTCCTCCCAGTCCCCTCCTGCTCCTCCCCCGTTCTGTGAGAGATGATGCGGTTCTCCATCGCTAGGCTCTGCCGACTGATGTCACTGGCAGCGGGAAGCATCAGCAGCCTGATCACATGCTACCTAGTCTGTAATGCAGATGGGATAAGGGTGGGGGGGGGGAAGGGGCTATATGGCAACTATTCTTGTTTGAACGCCTGCAGAAGTACAGAGGCAGCAGCTGCAGCATCCAGCCAGCTTGGATGTCTTGCCTCTGAACCTGGGGGAAACTATTATTGGTGATATTTATTGTTGATAGTGTTGAGAGGAAACAACCCTTAACTCTAGGGGTTTGTTTTGCTGTTCTCTCCAAAGCAGACTTCCAGGACTCTGAAGAAGCAGTTACAAGCAGGATGCTTTTTCCCACCTCTGCGCAAGAATCTCCCCGTGGCCTTCCAGATGCAAATGGCTTGTGCCTTGGCCTGCAGTCACTCAGTCTGACTGGCTGGGACCGACCCTGGAGCACTCAGGACTCTGACTCTTCAGTCCAGAGCAGCACACAGTCGGGTGAGTGCAAGGGAATGGGACGACTGGCTGGAGGAGGGGGGCAAGTAGGGTAGTGAGCTAAGATACCAAAGCAACAGTTGTTCTGTTCCCCCTTTGCATCACTCCCCTATATACACGCTATTTTGCAAGCGATGGTAGCTGTGAGTGTTGCAAGACAGATAGATCGCTGCTGGCAAAGGCAGATGCAGCTTTTCTAACTTGCCCTGGCAAATTCCCTGGAGTTATTAGTCTACACCTGAGGTGGCCCTGACAAGGGTCTCCAAGGTTACAGCCTTTTGCAGATATGATCCATCTAAGCCCCTGGTGCCCAGGCCTCTTAGAGATGATGAAGCAAAACACTTTTAGGTGGGGGAGGGGATTTAAGAGACTGATGGCTGGATGACCAGATTCTGTTCAGTGGTTTTAAAACTGGAGAGCTATATGTGACAGTTGGGTAGCCCTGAGTCATAGCAAAGATGATTATCTGAGCAATTTTATTTGAATTAATATTAGGATTGCATTAACATTAGGTTAAGAGCATCAATCCTGGAAAGGGGCTGACCAGGAAGAGGGTAGGGTAACTCCCATTTATAGAGAAGAGGAGGAGGTAGGTGGTCTTCTCCTTTCCTCCAGCCCTGCCTTGTCTGTTTGTTGAAGGTTACTAATAGATGAGGGGCCACTTCCCTTTAGGATCCCTTGTCTTCTGGGTTTCAAATTATTGAGAACGGATTACAGGGAGTTCTTGACATACCTTTGAACTACTTTTGGTGAGACCTTCCCATTGCATGTTTATTCCCTTCTTGTGATACATAGGGGAATATTGGCCTGATGAAAACCTTAAGATTGTCCAGGAAGAATCGCGAACTTAAATGCTACAGTATTACTCAAGATTAATATATTTTACTTTAAATTGTGTAATAATACAAAAGTATTAGCAGCTTCTGTAGGAAAAGGGGAAATGGGGGACTGGGGTACCTGTAGGCACTGCCGTTGCTGCTGGCAGTGGCGAACACTAAGCTGCTGTCCTTTCGGATAACCTCCCCAGTCTAGGACCAGCAGTCCTGACAGCAAGGTGCTGCTATGTTGATTTCTCTGCCCTCCACCCTATTTGATGCAGGTGTTTTTTTGTTTGTTTGGGGTTTTTTTTCCCCCTTTGGTTTTGTTTTGTTTTTACAATGCTTTGCAGACTGGGACTCTTAATATCTGTTAGACATTTTAATGCCCATTTACTTTGGTAAAATGCTTTGGAGAAGAGGAAGGTTGATTTTTTTTTTCTTTTAATTGGCTTGTGGGTAGGATCTCTTGAAGGTAGAGTTATCTTGAATGCCACCTGTTTTTTATCTAACGCCAGCTTTTTTGGAAAGGTTGATCACTATCCTGTCTCCTAGACCAGGAAATGTATCACCATTCAGTGTCCTTTGCTTTAGAGGCCACATTATGTTTATCTGTTCTTTGAAACAAGCCTTGTCCTTTCTTTACTCCCACAGGATCTGAGCAAAAGAAGAACTCACAGGAGAGATGAGCACCTGTGTGTGGTCATCAGTGTCTGATTTGTGCTGGCATCAGATTGGGGTGTGGCCCTTCTTTGGCTCTTGTTTCTCTTAGCTACAAAGTTAGCTTCTGAAATAAAACTTCAGGCCCATAGAAATTTAGATGTGTCCATCTTGAGACTTTTAGAGCCTGCTCTAACAACTAAACAGTGAGGTGATTGCTCAGGAATGAGCTGTGCAGTGTAACTGCAGGACCTTGTCTCATGAAAGCAAGAAAAGAAGAAAAGTTGGGTCTAGGCATAATTCTCTCAGCTTTCCTACTCTCTAAAGAACCTAGTCTTACAGCTGTTGGTCTCAAGGGGGGGTGGTGGTGTTTTCTTCACTTTCCATCTCAGCACTTTAGTGATAAATATTACATCATTTTGTGAATCGGGGAAGGAATGCAGTCTGAACTTCTGAATGTTTGAAGATCTGAGACTGGCCCCAGTATAATGATCTGCCTGTGAGGGCAAGGTTACCATGAGTAATCTCTTGCTTTCTGGGGCTCAAAGACACACCCATCTCTCATCTCCATGCTGTGTTTTCCTTTAGGAGCTGTGATGGTAGCCTCCTTTCCCTAAGCTTTGTGCCTTCGTGGAAAGCCCATATGAGGGTGCCATCTCCTAGAGTAGGATGGAGCCCTCCCACCAACCAGCTGCAGTTCCAGATTGTGCACCCTTGCCAGTAATGCAGGAACACTCAGCCCACATTCCAGTGCCCACACTGCCTTCCCTTCTGAAAGCCGACTACTCAGTTTCTTGAGGCAGGGAGGAGATAGTTCAGTAGCTTTAGGAAATCGTAGTTATACTTGAAAGCAGCTTGGTATCCTACTGTATCTGTGTGGAACCTGGGTGTAAGCTTATTGCTTAGATTCTGGTCAGTTTTACTTTCTCCACTAAGTTTTAGCCTCAAAACTCACAGACTTTACCACTTTGAAGTATTTGACAGTGCATTGAGCAAGGTTGGAGAGTAGGGCTCATGACAGAAAATCTTGAGTATAAATTCACTCAGTAGACATTAAGCACCACCTGTATGCCAGGACCTGTTTAGGGCACTGAAGCTGCATCAATGGATAGGATAAAATCACTGTCATTAAGAATCTCTAAGGCTGATAAGTTGGCTCAGCAGGAAAGGGTGCTTGCCACCAAGCCTGACAACTGAGCTTAATCCCCGGGACCCACATCGTAGAAGAAGAGAGCCAACTCCCAAAAGTTGTTTTCTGACCTACACACACATGTAGAAGAAATAAATGGAATTTGAAAATTTTTTAAAAGAAAATTACCATGACTATCAAAGGATAAGTCCTTTAATAGAATGTCACAGTTGCAGATGCTTCCTTGGTATCCTGGGATAGGGAATGGAGTGACAAATAGCTACCTTATATTGATTTTTTTTTAAATGCTAGCACATCACATGATTTTAATGCTTGCACAGATGATGAAAAAGGCTCACAGAAGTTGCAAAATGCCCAAAGTGACCTACCTATTAGTAGGCTCAGCATCCCAAACCTGGTGTCTTTTGTTCTGAAACTCATGTTCTTCTTGTGAAACCCCTTTATTGTAACAAGAACCTTACCATGTTAGACATCAGACTTTAACCTCATGTAGTGCAGGGGCTATGTAGCCAAAGGTGACGTGCTCTCTTGATGAAATCTCTTAAGGTGAGGTTGTCCGACAGACAGTTCCCACCTGCTTAGCCACCCACTGGATTTGTCTTTCTGTCGTCCCCTATGACTCCTCTGTGCAGCAGTATTCAGCAGGAGAGTGAGTGACTTTGAATCTACCTGAGGGCCTGAGAAAAGAACTCTTAATGACCACTTTGTACAGAAGCCCAGTGGGCAAGTGAGATGCTCAGCCTAAGGATGCCAGAGGACATGTCCTGTCTATTCTGATTCTCTTTTAGAAGTCTCATGGGATTAAACCTGGTCACCATCTTTAGTTTCTGTACTGTTAAGGAGCTGAATGGAATGTTCCCTGTGTTGTGTCATTTACAGACCTCCCCAATGATCCACTAGTTAGATCAGCCTGAGATGGCGCAAATGTCTTTGGCATTTTTCTCTGCTCTCCCAACCTTTTTTTAACAGTGTTTATGAGGCAGCGTTCAAAAATGGGTTAGGCTTCTATGTGGAAGATGGACTTCCTGGGTTCAAATCTGCTTGAGTTCTCTACAAGCAGTCTTTAGAACTAAGGGTACATTAGGAAAGACTTCCAGTACACAGCTTTGTTTTAGGTTGGAAAAAATGGCTCCTGGTCTAGATTATCTGTGACTACTCTTAACCAGATAAAAAGCATTTGATGATGACGTCCTGAACCCAGTCCCACTTCAGCTGTGAGCTTGAGCTGAAAGGTGTGTCTTGCTATACAGGCATCCAGTGCCAGTCCCTGCTGCTGTTGCCAGTGCTGCCATCAGATCTGGGCACCTTTAGACTCTTAGAGAGTGAGGCTTCAGAAAATTCCAACAATGACTCAGCTGAAAATCCAGGGACCTGGCATAGAGAGAAGGTTGAAAGTGGGGAAAGTTAAAAATCAGTCTAAAAATATTACTGCTGATTTAGTCTCTTCTCTGAAATGGCATTAATGAGTTGGAACCTTCTGCCAGAATGGGTTGTAAAGGGACAGTCAGGTTACTTAAGGGCATCTGACTTTGGGTCACAGTTTCCAGAAACATGGCTCATTCTGTGGCCTAAAAGAGACCTCAAACCAGCTCAATTCAGATTCTTGCCTATTATTTACATTCGTTCTATCCCCATTGCTTCATCAGCTGTGCATTTGCTCCATTAAAAATATAAGTGTGGCCGGGCGATGGTGGCGCACGCCTTTAATCCCAGCACTCGGGAGGCAGAGGCAGGCGGATCTCTGTGAGTTCGAGACCAGCCTGGTCTGCCGAGCTAGCTCCAGGACAGGCTCCAAAGCCACAGAGAAACCCTGTCTCGAAAAAATAAAAAAAAATATATATATAAGTGTGTTTACCTAGATTTATCTATAACAATATAGTAATGAACTTTGGGCAATTTAAAGCAGATTTATTCACTTAACTAAACTGTTTTTATATTATAGATTTGTCCTTTGCCCAGTGATACAATAATGCCTTTTTGTGTATGTGCAACCTTATTCTGTAATGTCTGAGCTGTCTTTTGCAGCACCTGTCTTGCCTTTTTTAAACTTATCTACCTGAAGCAGTAGGCCTTAGCTCTCTTTGTTTCTGTTCAGTGTGAGCTTTTTACATCATGCAGATAGTTCTGGCCATTACTTTCCTAAAAGTATTTTATTCCTTGTCATTTTTTAAAATATTCTTTATTGTTCATGGTACTGTGTTTCTCTGCCTCTCTGATTCTTCCTCCACTCCCACACAGTGCTTTTAGAAATTAGACTCTTTGTGAAATGTCCCGTATAGTCACTTTGGCTTCCTACGTCCTTCAGTGTTAGTCTTCAGTTATGCTGTAAGAGTTTTATTTATAAGCTCCAATCTTTAATGTAAAATTATTTCTTATGA